AAAAAAAAAAAAAAAAAAAAAAAACACCTCCATTCGCCCCCGTTTGATTTCCATTCTTTGGCACAAAAATGAAAAATATGATTGTTATCCATTGTTGGGAATCTACTTATCAAACGTAGTGGAAATAAAAACGGATTTCGATTCCCACCTGGAATCGTCTTTGTGTTTAAATGGAAATTGTGATAAAAGTCATACATTTTTCTAGATCTGCAAATTCCTTTGCTTTTTCGTCGTTCCAGCAGCCTTGATCTATCACCCACAGCTATTCAATTGTTCAATCGCTAATGGTGATCCGCACAGCGAAAAAAATTGTAGGATTGTGATTTTCTTTTTGTGCTAACAAGAATAATGAATTCTCTCTCAAATTGTAAACCCTAATCACTTATTTATATAAACCCAAACGGGTTTGGCCTGACCGGTCCAATATTTAATTAATCCATTTAATTAAATCATGTCCGTGAATTAATTATTTCGAGCCTATAAATAAGTAACACAATTAATTAATTAATTCAACGCTTATTAAATTAATTAATTGACAAATCACAATCTTTCACTTCTCTTTTTGTGTGCGACCCATCAATTTCCCGATCACAATATTTAACGACATGAAATATCGTTTTGATCTAATCAAAATTGATAAATTAAAACACACTTTCAATTTATTACCAATTCACACTCGTCGTCCCAAATTGATATCTAGCAATGTGTCGGGGCAATACATGTAATAGAAAATGTCAAGTGGTATGACAACACCAAACTCGTTCGTTTGCCATGAAATTATAATCCCTTCGTTAATATAATCCGATCAATTACGAGATATTGAAGTGTGTCAATCTCGATTATCGATCATATCGTTCACTCCACTATTAAGTCAATATAAGTCGAAAACTTCTTTTCGACTTATGAGTACACCTTAGCCAAGAATTTCGTTATCAACGAATAAAATGCAGATTATAATATCTTACTATCTAATAGTGACGAATCCTCCTTCATACGATTTTTGACATACCTGAACGATGTCGTATTAGTGGTTCTTGGCAGAATAACATCCCAACACCGTCAAAGCATGACTATCTTCATATAAGGCACTATGACGACCTCAAGTCAAAGGACCAATTCCACTACCGAACGTTAGAGATTAACCACCGACACTTAGATAGTTATTCATGTGGAATCTGTTCTATAACAAAACATCAACGTATTCATTCACGTGTCACCACACTTTAGTTTGTGAGATCGGATACTTACTTCACAAGTAAGAAATGTCACGCGTGATAGTCTATCCATAATAGCAATATCCGTATCTCGTCATTACTTACGACCACGGATGATTTAAAATTCAATCATATGTGATTTGTATCTCACAATCACAACTCTTTGTGATTAACAAATTACTAAGATTTAAATCTACGGACTTCATTATTTAATTCGATTAAATATTAATTAATTAAATAATATATCTGCCATAAATCGCGTCAACTATATATTAGAAAGTGTATGTCCAAAGCCGATTGGACCTAAAACATAATATTTACAAACTCTCACTTGCACTATATCCATTCACTTATGTATCTAATATCATAACAGTCTACATGACAATCACGTTTATGTTACGACAACTCTTTGTCAGTGGATCTGCAATATTATCGAGTGTGGGAATTCGTTTATCTCTTTACGTCATTTCTATGTATATCTCTGATGAGATTATACCGCCTCAGTACATATTTGGATTATTGATGAGACATTAGTTCTTCACATGCACGATAGCTCTATTATTATCACAATACAATGACATGTGATCAACAATATTAGGAAGTACCCGAAGTTCATTAATGAACATCTTGATTCACATCGCAACTCTTTGCTACTTCTGAAGCAATCATGTATTAGGTTTCTACTATTGAACCAACGGTTGTTTCACATTTGGAACCATTCCAACACACCACTTAAAAGTAAACCAATTTATCTAATAAAATCTTCTCAAGATTTTATCTACGTAGATTGAGATGTGCTAAGCAATATTCTATATCTATCTCTATAGATCAAGTTACTTCTCCCATATCATTCATGAATAAATCTTTTAACAACCATTATTTCAACGATTGAAATATAGGGATGTCGTTTCCTATAATATTAGGAATACGACAATGCTCTCACTATCTTCTTGTAAACACACGATTCGTTTTCATATTTGATAAAATCAAACATTTTGATTTTTCCATCAAATCGAAGATTTCAACTCCAAGAGACTTGTTTTAACCCATAGTCATGGTATGCAACTAATGCAATCAAAATTCTAATGAACTTTAGCATGGCTAAGGGCGAAAGGTTTCGTCAAGGTCAACACTTAACCTTTTGCTACTAGCCTTACTTTGTATGTACGAATATTCTCCATCCGTGTTGACCTTTTCTTTATAAACAATTTACAACCGATGGGTTTTATCCCATTAGGAGAGTCAACCAAGGTCCAAACCTTGTTCACATATGTCGAGTTCATTTTGGATTTTATGTCAACTCTTGACTTTATTTTTGTGCAATTAGTAGGTTCATCATCCTGGATCAGCAATGCTTGATTAGTAATCATGGATTCGCACCTTCTTGAAAGTTGAATAATCCTACTAGATTCACATAGACCTGACATGTCCTCAGGAGTCTCTATTTCTTGATCAAGAGTATGTACCACATTACATATGGGATTAAACTCGGATTCATCTACTTGGCTAACTATATATGTGGACTCTTGAACTCTTTCAAATTCTATTTTGCTCCCACTATCTTTTTCTAGAATAAACATTTTCTCTAAGAGAATTATATGTCGTGAGACGAAAACTTTCTTCTTAATAGGTTAATAGAATTGATATCTAAATATCTATTTCGGATATCTCACAAATATTTATTTATCGAATTTAGTTTCAAATTTATCCAATTCAATGCACTTCACATAAGCGTCACAATCCCAAACTTTCATATGAGATAAATTAGGACTATAGCCTTTCCATAGCTCGTATGGAATTCTATTAACCAACTTAGATGTGACATGATTTAGTGTGCTGCACACTGCAATCAGTGCATGACTCCAAAACGGCTTTGGGTTGCATGGCTTGTTATTAATCACTCTATATCTAATAGTTTACGATTTCTCTTTTTCAAATACACCACCTTGTTGCAGTGTATATGGAGGAGTCCACTGCAAGAGAATCTCATTCTCTCTTAGATAATCTAAAATTTCATCTTTAAAATATTTAGTGTAAGAGTATCTTTACCTATTTGTTTCTCTACTTCTAACTTGACTCCCTCGAACCTTTCAAGAGCCCATGCTCGAATTTCATCAAATATGCATGGCTATTTCCGAAATAGTCATTAGTAAATGTAATGAAATAAGAGAAACCTTATCTAGCACTAACTGATATGGGTCTACATGAATCATTATGTATTAGATCAGTAATCATGCAGATATTTCTCCCTTTCAAATAAAAGTAGATTTGGTCATTGTGCTTAATAGACATAATTTGCACTTGTCAACTGATTCAAAATCAATTGACTCCACATATACATCTCTATGTAATATTAGAATTGCATTTCATCTATATGACCAAGTCTGCAATTCCAGATTTAGGTATTATTTAGATTATCACTTTTATGTCTTTTAACTTCTATACTCATTATAGAATGCTTAGTATTTAGAATATAAATGTTATTTATAACTTACCATACCATAAATATCTTAATCAAGATAGGCATGAACAACAATTGTTCTTAACATTAAAATAGTTCATGTCCAAACATG